TTCACCTCCCCATCCGAGGCTCCCAAAGCGTTTCTTTTGACACCACCGACCAGAGACACCCCGCAGGGTGTGTGCATCACTATACAGAGCCCTTGGCAGCAGGTAGAAGTGGTTGCACAAGGTAAATGTGACTTTGTTGGTTTTTTTAAAAAAAGTTTCTGCGATTTTCCCCCTCCTCTCCGGGCATAAAAACTCTTCCAGAGCTTCTGTTTTTAAAATGCACACTCGAGTGAGCTTGCTCTTCCCAAGAAACTGTTTTTTACACAATGGGCTGTAGGAACTTGTGGGAGATGTGTCTGTAATCACTGTGTCCCCAGGCTGCAGCTTCCAGCTGAAGCTCCAACACTGCACTGTATTTCTGTCCCCACCAATAAAAATAATTAAAGTACCCTTAAAAATAAAATATAATGGAAAAAAAAAAAAAAAGCCAGAAACTGATACTTTATGGCTTTAAACAGAGTTTAAATAGTGTCTCACCCTAACAAGCTATCAAACCAGAAGTGGGTATGAGGACATCACTGGCGTACCAAAGCCAACCTGGGAACTGGTATTAAAAGTTAAAAAAAGTGGAAAGCACAAATTGCTCCTTCCTTTAAAAGGTGATAAAGCTGTCTCCCTCCTGCCTCCTCCCATCCTGTTTAAGGGCTGGAGAGAAGAAAGTCATTAAATATATCAGGCAGTCTGTAGCTAGCTTTTGTGGGCTGTCTTTCCAAAGGTGCTGTGGGTTTGATTTGGGTGGCAGTGTTGCAAGTCAGAGATACTTGGGTTGTGTTTCCAGCCTGATACTCTGGAAATGGGACAACATTTCTGAGGAGGGGACAGAAACATCCCTGACAGGGAGGGAACAACATCCACAACCTCCAGGGGGTTAACCGGGAGCGTGGGGCTAAGCAGGAATCCAGATGGTGCAGGAGTTTTGCAGCACAGGGGTGGAATGGAGGGGTCCTGGGTGGGCTGCTGGTCCTTGGAGGGGTGCTGGTGCTCATCCCCAGCGTGGTGGGTGATGGCAGCAGCATGAGGAGTGCAGGAGGAAAAGGTGTGATGGAGCCAGGGGTGCTGGTGGAGGAAGGAGTGGCCAAGGACTTTTCTGAGGGCTCGGGTGATGGAAGTGGGGTTTGTGCTGGGGAAAATGTGTGGTGGTGTGGAAAAAACCCCAGCAGATTGCTGGGGAGTCAGTGAAGTTTTCTCCTCTGCTGAAATGCACTAGGAGGGATGACAGCACACAGCCTCGCTGGTGGCTCTGGGGGATGGAGGGGTCCAGTGTGGAAGGTTGACAGCACACAGACTGCTTATGGTGCCCATCCTGCCCACAACAGAGCTGGGATAATTGCTCATGCAATTATCTTTTCTTGTTTGCTTGGCTGGTTTTGGTTTTTTTTCAATAAATGCAAATAACTTCATCTTCCCAAGGCTGTGTTTGCCAGCACACACTTCAGTCATGTTGAGATCCTTTCCTGGCACTGTTAGAGCACCTTCCTGCTGGGATGAGCCAAAAAAAAAAAGGACAATTCCTGAGTAAAAAGCAAACTGCATCCCTCAGGAACATCACTGCTGTGTAGTTTTAATTAATTACCTGCTTGCAGAAGGAGAAAGTTTGCTGGAAAGTTTGAGATGCTTGGCACCAAGACCTCCTCTGGCTGGCTACAGCTCCCTGACTGGCTCAAGGGGAAAATATTTTGTAAACGGTTTGAAAAATAGTTTGTCCTCAGTTATTTGTCCTTTTATACTATTTTATATCCATTTTATTTTATAGACACCTGCGGTTACATGAATTTATATAAAGTTGTTGCAGCCCCTTGAGGGAGCTGTGAAGCTCCTACTGATCTTGTGCACATAACAGGGAAATAGATATTACTTAGCAAGGATTTTTTTTTATTATTATTTTAATGCTCTGTGCTTGTGGGTGTAAAGAAGTGGCCACGAGTGCTCTAATGTACAAGTTGTTCATGTAACTTGTTTGTCATGGGGCTGACAGGCTTTTTCCATAACTAGTAATTGTGTTTAGGAAGGATTTCTGATTTTGCAAGCGAGTGTGCTGGAAAATTAGGAAAATAATAGTAAAATAACTGTCAGAAGTGAAGAGTTGAGGACGGACTGCAGTTAAATCATCTTCTACCTGCAGTGTCCCATTTTTGTAAAAAGCAATATTGCTCTTAGATGGAAAAATATTCTCATTTCAAGTGCTTTTTGATTTACATTAAATTTAACCACTTAATAAAACGAGCCCTGGGAGGCACTGCCTGGCAAAGAACATCATTCCTGGGATGTGACACCATCCCAAAAAAGGAGCCCAGGTGGGAGCAGGTGGGAGCAGCCTCCCTCCCCACCCCAGGTGATGCACACAGCGTGTCCCTGTGCACGTGTGTCAGTGCTGGCAGGGGCTGGGTGACCTGCTGGTGGTGCAGCATTGCCCCCAGAGCCGTGGTGTCCTCTGCCCCTCCTGCTTCTCACAGTGTCCCCAGCCATGGCAGTGCCACCCCAGTCCCCTCCTGCAGTTTGTCCTCTTGTGGTGCTTCTCCAAGAAATCCTCATTTGGCACCAGAGCAGGCTGGTGTTTCACTGGGAATTGCCATTTGCCCAAAATAATTTGGCATTTATAGGTCCCTGGTGCAGATGGTCTTGGGTGCTGAGTTATTTCTGGGTGCCAGAGCTGCTGGCGCCAGTGCCGGATGCTGAGGCAGGGATTCCCCCCTTGGGATTCAGCTCTGGGATGCTCCAGGTGCTGCTGAGCCCTCGTGTGTGGGGATAAATCATTAAACACAGAATTCCCACTGCCAGGGGTCACCTGGCTGCAAGCTGCTTGGAGAAAACCCCAGATCTGTTGCGAGCATTGAGATGCTTTTAGAAACTAAAAGAAAAAAGAAATTAAAAAAAATTTCCAAGTTTAATTGCCACATTTATTCCAGAGAAAAGGCTAAATTAAAACAGAATTGGCAAACAAGGGGTTTCTTGTTTATTCCCATTTTGTATTTATTTTAGTCCCCGCCAAGCTGTCACTTGAAATTCAATTTGCTCGGTATTGCTGTTGCTTCTGCCAGGAGGCTGCTCCGAGTCGCCTGTGGAGGGCTTGGACTTCACTTGTGTGCTGTAGGGGAGGGAAACTTCACATTTAACAGCCAGAGGTGGAATATTTAATTCCAAAAAGCCTGGCTGGTCTGTTGTCCCTGGTTGTTTTGACCAGGGGAGAAGACACGACTGAAAGGAGCCTGCTCATTTTTGGTGGCAGAAAACCCAGCAAGAGGGTGCCAAAGAGTGGGTAGTGGCATGTCAAGTACTTTCTCACATTTTACAGATGGTTTATATAACCTGCTTGGCCATATTAATATATTTTTCCCATCCAGTTACATAATCCCAATTTATGAAAGCTTTAGGAAGTTGATTCCCCACTGTTACATGTCTATGTTACAGCCTCTGAGCTTGTTAGGATGCTTGGCCTCCCTGCCAGGCATCTCCCAAGAAGGTCAGGCTGGTGTGGAACAGCTGTTTATACACTCATTATTGCTATAATTTCTATAATTTATATTTCTTTAATTATTTTGTTTTAGCCATCATCAAAAGCTGTGTCAGCCTCTCGGAGGCAGGGTGGGTGCAGGCTGGTGCCTCTCCCAGCTGATGCAGAGCAAAGGCTTTGGGCATTTGTGCTTTTCCCAGTATTTTGAGGATCTGTTGCTTGTGGCAGAGACTTGCTGTGATTTTTGTGGTGGAAGCAGCTGAAATCCTTGCTGGGGTCAGGGATGGCTTTGAGGGCAGGTAGGAAAGGAGCTGCAGAGGCATCCATGTGTAAAATCCTCGGCCTCATCCTGCCCCTGTCACCTTCTCCCCTGGGGACAGCAGCTCCCCACAAATGGCTGTGGATTTTGCTTTCCCCAGTATAATTTGTCCTTCAAAATAAAGGAGGGAAAAAATAAAATGCTGCTTTTTTCCTTAATTCCCTTTCACATGAAAGTGGAGGGCGTTGTGTGTCATACCCACTCTGGAGGAGATGGACCACAGGCTGCTCACAAGAGAGTTCACAGGAGCTTTATCCATCTGATTTTTTTTTTTTTTCATTTTGAAGCAGCCTGGGAAAACCACCAAACAAGCATTTCCTTGCTAGAAAACCAGCAGAAGAGCCAGATTGTTTTTAATAGGTTTATATTGTAAACTGGGGGGATAAAGCCACTCCTCTCTGAAAGTCATTTGTGTGTTGCTGGCACAAGCCTGTTCACCTCACTCCAGGAGATGCAGAGAGACTGAACCCATCTCGCTTTTGCCTGAGATATTTATTCTGGCAGGGTTAGTGACCCATCCTGCTCACTTGTTCCTCTCACTGCAGCTGAGGAACAGCCTCTTATTCCACATACTTGGAAAAAAAAAAATTACTTATGACTTGAACCTTAAATAAAACCATTTCAGAAGCTTAAAAATATTAGCTAGAATTAGCAGAATGATGAAGCCACTGTGATGGGAACGTCCACTGCTGTATTTAAATGTATTTACTGCACGCAGTAGCTTTCTTTTTCACTTTGTTATCCTCTTAATTGTTTTAAAACCTTCCTGTGTTGGTGCTTTTCTGGTAAAAGGCAGATCCTCCAAGGTCTTTGGGAGGTGACTGGGGACTGCATCCCCCTCTGAAGTGTCCCCACAGTGTGGGTGGCACTTTTTGGTACCAGGGTCTCCGTGGCGTTCACCCTGGAGCAGGGACTGGCCATGGGTAAAGGAGACCAAAGGATTGTCCTTCCCTGGTGAATCAGGGCTCACCCTGGGTGCCATGGGGGCTTCTCAGGGTGCTGAGCAATTCAAGCAGCTCTGTTTGCATTTTGGTTTTTCGTTTGCATAGAAGTTGCCATGCCCGGCCTGCTGGGGTGTTGGCTGCTTGCATAGCGTACATGCTAAGAAGTAAATTGATCCATGGGAGTTCTTAGATGGTGAACAATAGTTTCAATTTCATGGCTTCCCTGTTTATTTTGAAGGAGGGGGAGAAAGTCAAGTGGCCAGGATTAAAAAAAAAAAAAAAAAAA